GCCACATGGCAAGCAAGGGACAGCATCCCGTCCCCATTCCCATCCCTGTCACCCCATAAAAGAGGCTCACCCTTCTCAGCAGGCCGGCCTGCAAGGATGCCCTCAGCTCCCGGTGCCGCCCAGCATGCCCGGCTCGTGGGATGTTGAGGGGCCGGCACCGACAGTAACTCCAGCAGACAGGTCAAAAAGTGAAAGCAAGCTGGGTGTCCTCGCCTGCTGGAAAGGTTTGGAGAGCCCTTGCAGCCCTAAGTAACCCTCGGTGGGGCAAGGAGTTAAATACAGCAGCTCCTGAGTCACCCCGGAGCAGGACGTGGTGGCTGCGGGGCACCTCCAGTATCTTGCTCCAGCCCCCCAGCACCTTTCGCTGCTGCGTTACGGGGTTGTAGCCTCTCCATGGGGCATAAAGGTGGCCGTGGCTGAGGTCCAAGGGCAGGAGAAAGAGCTGGTGGAGCCTGGTGGAGCATGGAGAGCCTCTTAGATGCTCAGGATGTTTGAGGAGGTTCTATGCAGAGCAGGTCCAAGCAGGTTGACCTCCACAGACATCCAAGATGAATAAAGCCACAGGAGGAGCTGGTGATCATGATCTGTGCTGGTCTCAGAGGTGCAGGCTGGGGAGGAGGGACACTCCTGAGGTCCAAGACGTTGGCAGTTGTGTCCTCTGAAATACTGTGTCCCACACAAGGCCTGAGGTCAGGCAAGGATCTGGTGTTGCCTTGGGTGGAGGGACCCTTCGATGGCCTCTGGGACCCGGCCCCTACCATGGAGACAGCCCCAACCATCCTCCTTGGCTGTGCTGCAGGAGGTACCCAGCCAAGATGAGTCACCCCGGATGAGTCCCGTCTGATGCCATCAAAGTCAGTCCTTTATCTGCCATAGGCACAGAGCAGGACCGGACCCCACCATCTGCCTGAAACCTCTGGCGCTGGGACATGGGAGTGACAGCAACAGAAACCTGTGAGGCTTGAAAGAGCCTCTGGGAAGATGCCAAGATGTCGGTGTCTTGGCCGGTCTCATCCAACCATCTCCACGCCTCTTGTGACAAGGTCATGTCTCCATCCCCTGACTGTTGCGCTGTGTGAACGTAAGCACTGATCCTGGCACGGCGGGATGGGCGCTGGGGGACTCGCCCAGGGATGGTGTTTGCTGGACCATTACTGCGTCTGTGTCCTGGCCAAATTGCAGGTTGATAACCTCAAGCAACCGGAATTCCTGGCCTGAAGCACAAGATCAACCAAACCCATGTCTTTGGGGTTTGCTTGTTTTGCCTCCTGCCTTTCAAGAAGCTTTTGTGGCGTCGGGAAGATGCCGAGCTCATTAAAAACGGGGAAAAAGGGGTAAAGAGGGTCATCGGTGCATCCTGTAGCCATTCAATGTCAGGGTCTGGCTATTTGAGCAGCTCTCAGGGATGCTCAAGGGTGGCATGGGCTTGCAAAAAAGCATCTGCAAAACGGTGGGTTGATGGGTACTGGCAGTGTTTTCCAGCTCAACGTTGCCTTTGCTGTTGTAATTTGGCTTCTGATTTGGTGCATTTGCAATAAACGAGTGTTTTGTGCTGGGCTGGGAGCTCCCAACCCTCCTGGACAAACTGCACCGCCGGGAGTCACTCCTTGCACTTTTAAAGTGAGTTGCTGGTAATGCCTGGCTGTGGAAAACACATGTGGGGTTTCAAAATCCAGGAAGAACCAAAAAACCAAACCCCAACCCATCCCCAAAGTAGCCCCAACCTCCCCACCTGCAGAAGGATTATTTACTGCAGCTCCTTCCTCTGCTTGTCCAGGATGGATCCCAGCAGCTCTGCCTCCCAAGGGGTTGATCCTAAAGGGGGTAACACCAGGTTTTACTCCCAGTTTGGGATGTCACCCGGCTTGCTACGCACGGGGATGTGCCTGGGGAGAGGATGAAGCCTGCTGTGAGCCAGCAAGGGGGTTTCTCCAGCCACCCTGTCCCTGGCGCGGCTGCCAGGGGCTCCTGCTGCTCCCAGCAATGCCGGTGCCGGATGCGTTTCTGTTTGTGGTAACTTTTTGCATTCCCACTGCAAATGCTGTTGTTGGAAGAGATGGAGGATGACAGCGGAGGTGATGCTCCCGGCTATCCTGTGGTGCTGGGATGCTGCGGAGAGGGGTTGTGCTGCAACCCAGATAGGCTCCTAGGGCCAGGGTGACGGGAGGGTGTCTGGTGGGGTCTGAGGACCTTCCCCTAGGAGCAAGACCTGCCAGCAGCCTGCTTTTTTAGTTAACCAGATGCTGCCAGCAGCCCTGGAAACCCCAGCCCTGCCAGTGGTTTCTGTAGCTTTGTCTAAGCGGAGATGTTGGGGTGGCGAAGGCTGCGCTTGCGGCAGGGACGTTGGTGGGGTGGGAGTCGCAGAGTGTGAGCAGGGCTGCCCCTGCCTCGCCTGGGGTCTCCCCACCCCAAGCAGCGGCACAGGAGGAAGGTGTGTGGGTGTGGAGCTGAGCACTGGGTAGCTCAGTGCATGATTCACGTGAGAGGCAGCTGGAGACTGTACGGCAGTGCTGTTTCGGAGCTGGAAACCCCCAGGTCTCTCTGGTTGACTTTTTGAGGCGAGAACGCTCCTTTTCTGCTGCTGTGGGAAGGACAGAGGAGCAGCCGGTGCCGGGGGACGATGCTCCGAGTGAGGGGGTTCAGGAAAACGGGTTCCTCCCATGCCAGAGCTCACGTGCCCCCAGAAACTCCTTCCTCAGGTGCCTGCGCTCCTGCTCAGCTCTTTGCTTCCCCCACTGGATAGCCTTTTATCCTCCTTAATCCCACCAACACCGTTAATCCCCTTGGCTTCCCTCCTGCTCGGATCTTCCCTTTGCAAGCGTACCTTTTGCGGGGTTAGAGAGGCACTTTGGGTCCAGAGCTGGGTTGTGGAGGCACTTTGTACTCATTTTGGTTGCTGCAGCAAATGCCACATCTGCAAGGCTGTGGGACGGGTGTCCCTGTCCCTGGGGGGTGCTGCAGCCCTGGCAGTGAACCGGGCACCTTCTCCGTGTCCCATCAAGGAGTGGGGCTGGCCGGGGGATCTGGGGGGGTCAGGAGGTGGACAGGAGCCTTGAGCCACCTGGACGTGGTACCTGTGACATGGTGAGAGGGCTGACCCTTTGATGGGCACGCAGAGCCCTCCACGGCTGTGTAGAGCCGGCTCTTCCCTGCTTTCATCCATCCTCAAAACGTGCCCTGCGAAAGCTCCCTGGGGCTGGAGGAGGAGCAGTGTGCTGCTCCTCTCTCAGTCCCATCCTTGGAAGTTCTCCCAGGGATGGGAGCAAGTCCTGTGGTCCCACACCAGCGCTGGGTCTCTGCGTAAGGTGAGGTCTGGCTGCTGCCATGTGTTGAGTCTGCAGGTGCCTCATGGGTCCCTGCCTGAGAAAAGGGGGAGGCAGGGGGGTTGGCTTTGTCCAAACTAACCTTGCTCATCTCTCCTGGGGATGCAAACACCCCTTCCCTCATCCCATGGGGTCTTGCTGGGCAAACTCCTCCCTTAGGAGTGTCCCCAATGTCCCCAGGAAGCTCCAAGCCAGCACCAGCATTGATGTGATGGGTGATGCTCCCTGTGGCTTTGAAGATGTCAAGGGCCAGGAAACATGGGGGTTGATTGAGCTTCCCGTTGCTTGTGAGGGAATCCAGGCGTCTGGCCTCTCATGTCCTTCCATAACCATTGGGCCTTATACCCGTCTAGCAGAAGACCCAGTGCCCTGTGGTAGCCCTGCTGTCAGTGCAGATGGCTGCTCAGGGACGTGGCCTGGGCACGGGGAACGGTGGGGGCAGCAGGGACCTAGGTGACCATTGAGGTGATGTTGTGTTTCAGGGAGCCCCTGACCCACCATGACATTCAAGCAAGTGTCCATGATGGCCCCGGAAGCGATGGCCACCACGATGCCCATGGCCACGATGGAGAACTCCACTGAGGCTGCAGGGCCGGGCAAGGGCAAGGACATGTTCACCAACATGAGGGACAAGTTCATGAATGAGCTCAACAAGATCCGCTGTGAGTAGCTGATGCTTTTTCCAGGTTTCTTCTTCTCTGTGACCCCACCACTGCTCCAGTTCCAGTGCAGCACGTGGGATGAGGCGGTGGGGTGTCTGGGGCCAGGAGGGAGCTGCGTGGCTGACCACAACGCTGGCTTTTGCCTGCAGTGCCGCCCTGGGCCCTCATCGCCATCGCAGTGGTAGCCGGACTCCTCATCCTCACCTGCTGCTTCTGCATCTGCAAGAAGTGCTGCTGCAAGAAGAAGAAGAACAAGAAGGAGAAGGGCAAAGGCATGAAGAACGCTATGAACATGAAGGACATGAAGTCAGGCAACCAGGTGATGTCCTTCTGGACTGCTTGGCCTTGTCCTGCGCTTGGTGTTGTAGGACAATCCCTCTGGTTGAGTTACAAACCGTCTTGGGGCACTTGTAGCTCAGGCAGCAGAGGGGGATGGAGCCAGCAGGATCCTGAGATGGGGAGCCTGGAGCTGAGGCAGCAGCACTGTCCTCTTCCAGTGCCTGGTGGCCTGGATGGGACCAGGTCAGGCTGCCCTGGACCGACTGATGCTTCGCCTGAACCAGCAAATATTGATTTAATCCCTTGTGTCTCCTTGCCTTCCTCTGAGTTGCCCTCTTGTTTCTCTGTGCCTTAGCAGACAGAGGAGAACACCAGGGCAAACCCCCCACCTTGGGGTCCCCAAAAAGTCAGTGCTGAAGAGGCAGGTGCTGGTGCATGGTGCGGAGCTGGGACCGTCTCTCCTCCTGGGGGCCAGGAGGGGTCAGTGGGAAAGAGGCTTTGGTACCAGCGAGTTTGGGGCAACCTTGGCCATTTCAGCTCATCAGCCCAACCCAGGGCCATTTGGAGAGGGTGGGAGATTTTGTGTGGCCATTCATGCTT